GTCCCAGCTACTCGGGAGGCTGAGGCAGGAGAATGGCGTGAACCCGGGAGGCGGAGCTTGCAGTGAGCTGAGATCGTGCCACTGCACTCCAGCCTAGGTGACAGAATGAGACTCCGTCTCAAAAAAAAAAAAAAGTAAAAGAAAAGTGAGGCCAGGCACTGTGGCTTACGCCTGTAATCCCAGCACTTTGAGAGGCCAAGGTGGACAGATCACCTGAGGTCAAGAGCTTGAGACCAGCCTGGCCAACATGGCGAAACCCGTCTCTACTAAAAATACAAAAATTAGCCAGACGTGGTGGCACATGCCTGTAGTCCCAGCTACTCAGGAGGGTGAGGCATGAGAATCGCTTGAACCCAGGAGGCAGAGGTTGCAGTGAACTAAGATTACACCACTGCACTGCAGCCTAGGTGACACAGGGAGATTCTGTCTCAAAAAAAAAACAAAAACAAAAGAACAAAATCAGGATTGGGCAGGTGGCCCAGTGTTGCTGGAGCAGCTGTCTGGCTGGCATTGGTAAAAGTAGGGTGGGGGGAGAGAGGAAAAGTCCAGGTGAGGCCTTCAGCCTTTATCTGTGGGCAGGAGGGAGCCATTGCAAGTCTCCAGTGAAGGAAGAATTGTGCCTGTATCTTAGAACTATAGCTAGAACAGCATGCGGCTGACAGAGAGACAGAGAGAGAGAGAGCAGGAGGAAGATGCATGCAGCCCGCCAGGCAGGAGATCAGGAGGGCTGGACAGGAACAGTGAGCCTGGAGAGGAGGAGCAAGGAGAGCCGTTCAGGAGGGACGCGGGGACTGAGTGGGAAGTGAGCCCTGGATTCCCATCTGGGAAACTTGCTGGGTTACAGCTGCAGCTGGGACTTCAACTGAGATACGGAGAGCAAGAGCAGCGCAGGCTTTCAGCTCTGGATGGGAAGGAAAAGTGAATTTCATATCCTCAACACGTTCACTAGACACCTCGAGCACAGGAGAAAGATTAGCACTAGAAACGCCGAAAAGTGACACTGGAAACCCATGCTTTATCGCTTTTGTAAAGATAAAGAACGTGCAGTGTATAGAGTTCCCTTTTTGCATTGTGACTCGTAGTGTCACCCAAATGCCAATGTGTATACCCATGGCACAAACACAAATATAAGGGCCCACAAGGGGCTGTCAATCATGGCAGGTCAGCCACTGTCTTCAAACTGATAACAATAGTCCCTACTCAGATGCAGAAAAACACTAAGTTCTAATCAGAACCAACCGAAATGTCAAAACGGCAGAGTGTTGTGAGCATCAAATGAGATATAGTATAGGGGAAAATCCTGTAGCAATGCCTGGCACATAAAAGGTACTCAATAAATGTTATTTGTTTAATCTGCGAAGGAGGAAGCATCTGCATTTGCGTTAAGCACAGTATACAAAATAAACTTAGGAAACATTATGTCTAGGACTTAGCTTTAAGGAGAGCCCCCTCCTCAATTTCACTGCAGTTTACTTGTTTTTTCCTGTTCCTCCTCTCTGTACCCACCCACTCCCCTTCAGGCCTCTACTGTGATCTGAACGATCCTCCTGGATAGAACTTCCTATATTGTTTGGTAATTATTGACATGTCAATACATCCTTCCACCCCAGCTTCTCAAGAGCAGAAACTATGATTAAGAATAATAGTAATAGTAATAGTATTCATCATGCGCCATCTTTGAGGTATTCTTCTTATCCGCTTTCTATGGGCAGCTTGCACAAGTTCACACAGCCAAGAAAAGTGGAGTGTGTCCCCCAACCCAGGTCTGTCATCTGCCCTTGTCTGCTGTGCAGAGGACTTGTGGGTGTCCATTCTAGCCCGATGCCTGTGCGTGACGAAGACTAAGTCACTGTTGAGGGGATGATTATCATATGAAAGAACTGCAAGCTTCAGCTGTGGCTGTTGATTCTGTTTACTTGGAAGTTTCTTGGGGAGAACTTCATGGGTCAGGGAGCAGGCTCTGAGGTCTCAGCTGTGTGACCCTGAGCAAGCGAACCTGACCCCTCCCCACTCCATTTCTCTCTGTAGAATGGGGATAGCAAGTGCTTCCCTCCTGGAATTGGCCCATGGGAGGAATTAGATGAAGTCATCCCCGTGGAGCACTTAGAACAAGGCCTGGCTCGTTTTAAGCACTCAATAAATATTAGTTCTTTTTTTAACCTTAGCATTCTTACCTCAGTATCTTTATGGGAATAAATATTTTAAAATAAAACTTTGTCATCAGTGAACAAATACATGTGAACAAATAGTGTTCTTAGAAAGGGAATAGCCTGAAATACTTCTCTTTTGGGCAGGATTATTTGACCCTTTTAAAAGCAGCACATTAAATAAAATTCGAACCTCAATTACACAGAAGCAGAAGCAGAAACCCAAAACTAAATTTCAGATTTAAATACAGTATTTAGGCCAGGCCTGGTGGCTCATGCCTGTAATCCCAGCACTTTGGGGGGCCAAGGCGAGCGGATCAGGAGGTCAGGAGATTGAGACCATACTGGCCAACACGGTGAAACCCTGTCTCTACTAAAAATTTAAAAATTAGCTGGGCACAGTGGTGCGTGCCTGTAATCCCAGCTACTGGGGAGGCTGAGGCAGGAGAATCGCATGAACCCGGGAGTTGAAGATTGCAGTGAGCCGAGATCACGCCACTGCACTCCAGCCTGGCAACAGAGCGAGACTCCATCTCAAAAAAAAAAGAAAGAAAGAAAATACAGTATTTAATTCTTTCTTCATGAGTTCACAACCCAATACTCTACCAATATTGAAAGAAGACAGTTGTTAATTTCTTATGGTCACTGTGTTTCAAGATTGCATATATTGATTTGTGTTTTTCAGAGCAGATATACATGGCCTAAGTTTGTTTTGTTGTTGTTGCTTTTCGTTTCTTGTTTTTCAGCTTTGGTGAAACAATCAGACTAGTTTTTAACAATATTTTAAAATAATTTGTAATAATAGGAAATGTTTTCTATTTGTTGTAGTTACTATAAATAGTCTCCAATAATCCCAGATTATGCCAGTTTAAAAGTTTTCAGAAGATCAATTGTGGATATTCATCAGAATATCTGTATTGGAAATCTGCTTTCTTTCTTTTTTTTATGGAGACGGAGTCTTGCTCTGTCATCCAGGCTGGAGTGCAGTGGCGTGATCTTGGCTCACTGCAACTTCCACCTCCTGGGTTCAGGCAATTCTCCTGCCTCAGCCTCCCGAGTAACTG